GACGTGTAATGAAAGATGGAATCCCAAAGACTTTTTTAATTATTGATATTAATTTTATTTAAAAAAAGAAATAAAGTGGGATTATGAAGACTGAAGTTTATTTTTGTCTTGTAGCATGGAATATAATATCCACAGTGTATAACAAGGTTGCAATTATTTGCATTACTTCACTAATTTGGTCAGAATCCACACTTGCTATTTTTGTCACAATCTAATTTCATATTTTCTGAAATACTTCCATACTGTCACCAAAATGTATCCTTATTCAAGATTGACAGAAATACCTTAAATTTATATTCAATAAACAGTATCAAAATGTATACAAAGTCTTGAAGTGTTGCAAAGTATAGTGTACTGAAACACAGTGCTTCTCCAGTTTAATTACTGTAGTCATAGGCACCAGATTTGGAACCAAGAATTCACAAGTATTATGCTACTTATTCTGAAACAATGCAGTGATTCCTGTAGATTTCCTAAGAATATACCTCAGAACTTCAAAGAAAAGAATGATACATGTCTTCCCAATTATTTTCCTGCTTGGAATAAAACAGACAATTCTTTCAAACTTGGGAACATTCCAGAAATGGAACTGTATATCGGTAATGGTGTAAGCTGAAGTAATAGAAATGTCAAAAAATATTGGGTTACATCCATTCTTCTTTGATGGACAAAAAAGGTAACTGAATTTAAATTTTCTGTTTGTAATGTTAACATTATGAACATTGTTTTAGTTTTCATAGTTGTTGTGGATTACAGTGTGTTCCATAATATTTTTTCTGTTTTGCAGATTATGAAAGTTAATTTTATCTTCTATAATTTTCTTTTGGTCACCATGTATGAAAGTACCAGTATTATTCACTGTAACTCTGTAAAGGCACAGTAAGTACAATTACATTTGAGGCTGTAATAAGGAGACTCTTAAGTGTCCAGTATGTAGGCATTTGGGTGGATTTAAATTCTGTACTTTGTGTCTATGCCTTATTTTGTTAAAATGGCCATATTTTAATAATTTGTTAATCTAGTGCATTGCAACAAAAGCATTTAAACATTTATGAACACAGTAGTTAATGTATTTATATAAATTTATTTACATGCAGTTAATTTAAGGGACAACTATAAAAATTACAAAATGTTTATTAAAAATGAATGAATAATGTAGGAGAAAATGTGTCTTACCTATAGACATGGCAGTGCAGCAGTGATGTTTCTAGAAGGCATGACACAATCTTCTACTGCTCAAAGTTTGTAGTTCCTGTTCTGCCTTGCTGTCTCATCACATACACAAACATCAAGTTCCCACACACACCAATTCTTTTATTATTGCAATGTCAGCACTGAATTTACTATTATATAAAGAACACTGAATCACTTTATTGTTTATAAGACATTTTCACTAATGTAATTCTGTGTAACAGAGTTTGAAACATGGATAAACAGACCCATGTCCCAGTCTTCACAATACTACGATCTTGAAGCTTCTGCCATAGCTAAGGTGGTTAGTCCCTTAGTTTCCCATTGCAGCAGGCCATGTTTGACCCAGGTCGATTCATATGGGATATGTGGTGAACAAAGTAGCACTGGGGCAGGTTTTCTTTGATAATTTTGGTTCCTCTGCCAATTCATCATTTCACTGACTGCTTTACAATCATATATTTTCACAATACAGGTATGATGCAGTAGGCCCAGTAGTGGCCGGCATATTCAAGTGGATTCTGAGTCACCCTACCTCACACGCACTGACCTTTTAGAGACCAGATGACTGCATGGTGGTCTTTAACCTTTAAGAGCCGAGCGACGCCATATGGCGTCATTAAAATAAAGTCAAGGGGACGAATGATGCCATATGTCGTCGCGCAGTCCACGCGTGCGGCCGGCTTTTTAAAATCTAATTTTAAGTTATAAATTCTTTTTCTACTTACATGATTTTTGGTCACCAGCTTTATAAGTTGTCTCTCTTCCCACCTGTGTCATCTAACGGAATGTTGCCTTCGTGTGGAATTCTTGGAAACATCCGGAAATGCAGAGTCCGACGTCACACTTCACTCACTTTGTCTGGACAGTTCTTCGTTTCCCACGCGAAAAGGACACACGACACCTCAATTGCGAAGTAGAGGAAGTTGGCCAGTGATGTGGTTTGGCCTCCTCTAATCGGGATATCTCCAATGAAATGGCAGGGGTTCGACCCCTGGTCCGTTGAGGGCGAGATGGACCCCTTCCAGCATGTTCCGCACAAGAGCGAGACAAAATTCTCTGTGTGACAACAGGATGTAACTGTTCAGATCCAGGAGATGGAAAAATAGTTTATTTGTCCATTTCCAGGTTCGACGAAAGATGCTATAACTGTTTGCCACAGTTTGCCCACAGCTCCACCTGAATAATTATTCACACTCTTGCCATGCTGGTGTGGTGGTCCCCAGGTTGCCAACCAAGATGATGGTTCTTCTTCGAAATCAATTTCTGATTCACTTTCCTCAACGCCACTCTCAGAATTGTCTTTACAACAATCTGATTCGGAGTCATTTATGAGCTGAAATATGTCCCAGTCTTCCAAACGAGACCACGCAATGGTTGGTTGGTTTACAACTTCGCAGAATGCTAACCTTGAGTGTTCTGATGCGGTGGGCTGTTATACGGATGCTAACCTTGAGAGTTCTTATACAGTAGCCTACCAGGTCAGAACAGAACACTCGTTGTGTAGCTATAAGCGATAATATAAACAATCAGGGTTCTTATAAACAGATATGCGCCCACATCTCTGCATACCGAAAGAACGTACGTGAATAAACATTGATACATGCTAGCCTAAACCAGGGGTAGCTAAGATTTCGCTGTGTTGCCACTTCAGCCGCATTCATACTTGCAAGAACTGTATGAATTCTTGTAGACAGACGACAAATTGGGGCATATTTTAGTTGGAATCAGTCTAAAAATTTTTACACATTTTATGAAGTCTGTAAATTACAATATCTGATTCTATATTCTTTCGAGAAAAAAGCAGCGTTTATTTGGTTCATTTATCACAAAAATTGTAGAAATCACAGCAATTTTAGTAAATGATTACAATGTCTATTGCTTTATAATCGCGGGCATTTAAATTAAATCAGTCCCGCAGCCATTACCGGAAATTAAAGGGCCGTCTCTTAAAGGTTAAATTGTATTTACACTCAACCTGGCAGACCTTAAGGTGGTCTCCTTGGTGTTACTCTGGATTTCCCTGCTGGGAACATGCAAAATAAATACGGGTACTTTATTTTGGGATATAATGCCATGTATTCTGGTGGCAGTCCATATATATTTCAGTTGAAAATCTACTAGTAAAGACAACACCACAAACTGTGGAGGAAACATGCAAACCAGGGGCATATGGCAGTCATAACTGAAAAGTAGGCTACGAACATGAGGGGCAAGCTGCAAAAACAGAACACCCTGGACAGACATACATTTATGAACAATGGACGATACCCTGTGTGAGGTGGAATAATATGCAGGCATATGGCGTGGGTATAATAGAAACTTTAAAGGATTTTATCTGATTTTACCTTGAAAAGAGGACTACAGCGTGTGATTTTAACATGGACTAAGACAGTGTAGCAGTTTTAACATAACTTGATAAAATATTTGTAACATATCAAGACATTTGAAGATGGCCGTTTGGGGCCAAAACATGTAGTGTCAAAGTGTATAATCTTAAACTAAAATTAAAATTAAGTAGTGAATAAAAAAGTGTTGCAATATTGACGGATGATAAATAATGGACGTTAAGTTGAACAATTGCAATGGGATGCTGAAATTCAGAAACTATAGTATGGTTAACAAATTTGAAATGTACAGCAACAGTGACATTTATAGTCTGCCAGTATGTCAGTACTTGATATAAGGGATGTCAACATTTCTTAATGACATGTGCCTTTATAATGATTGCAACTGTGATACCAAATGGTGGACCAATTCCAGATGATAAACACATTTTCAGACACTGGAAATACTTTCTATACATAATGGGTGTTTATGGTAAACATATATTACACAGATTAGGCTGGCTGACTGAGTGCAGAGAATATATGTTCTACAATGCAAAGTACAGAGAGACTTTCATTTAAGATTTTTTTAGAGAACTATGGGTTACAGGACTACTGAGGAAAATCTTAATACAGGAAATCTAACAATGAGCTAACTGGCCTGGGAGCACATATATATATATATATATAAACATTAAATATTGTTAAAACTAAAACTGAGAAATATTTGATGGGGATTCCACTGTATACTTTATGTTAATCTGATCTTAGTGGAAAATTAACACTGCAAGTACTTCTGATCGTTCAAATGTTTTGTTTATTAAATACAACAAAATTCTTAAAGACACAAATACATTTACTTGTATAACTATCGCAATATCTTGTATATACAGCTAACTCTAGGTTATCCAGTATCCAGAAATCCAGCAAAAACTTCAAAGAAAACTACCATTTTTATAAAGTTGCTTCAGAAACAATGTTGAGATGCATGTATGTTCATCTGTCACATGGTAGTTCTTCCAGCTGCCTGAATTTCAGATCACGTTATAGCATATGCTTCACTTGTTGACCACTGTGTCACCTAAGAAGATGCCTGTGCGGGAACTACGGTAAAAACGTGTTGCTCTGAATTTGAAACAAATATCAAAAGACTGTAAAAGGGGGAAAATTGTGTTCTGAAATTTTTCCTTATGCAATAAACACACCTAATTCCCCATATGAACTAAATGATGAACAAAAATGCCTCTGTGGTCTAGTGGTCAGAGTTTCTAGCTACAGATCCGGAGGTCCAGGTTAATTTCCTGGCGCTACCAGATTTTCTGAGAAGTAGTGGGTCTGGAACAGGGTCCACTCAGCCTTGTGAGGATAATTGAGGAGCTATTTCAAAGAAATAGTGGCGCCAGTCTAGAAAACCGAGATTAATGGCCGTGGGGATTCACTGTGCTGACCACGCAACACCCTCTGTCCACTAAAGTTGTCACTAACTTCGCCAACAAGCGGCGGTCACTCAGTCGGTATAGTTCCCTTGCAGACTAAGACCATGGAGTTAGTTAATTCCCCATGTGTGTCAGATAATGAAGAGTTCACTGCACTACATGCAGATTGGGGAATAATTCTATTTTCCAAAGAACTTAAATTGATCTGGTTATTTTTTATGTACAGCAGGGATGGGCAGAATTTGCATGGCAAGTGCTAGCTCAAAGTTCGCCAGAACTCTATGGTTCACTCATTTATTTAACGTTTTCTTAATAACACGTAAAAGCACATATTTCATAGGTTAAGTGCAACATAAAGCTTAAATACTAATTTTAATTTTAGAATTTACACCAACATATTCAAAACATAAAACTTTACTAACATGAAGATTTAAGAATAGAAACATATTTTCAAAAAATATTCTGTAAACACGTTTAATTAACAAGATGAAGAACTGCACTTCACTGATTATGCTAATTCTGTGAATTTTGATAATTAGTAAATAACTAACTGCTAACTTTAAATGCAAGATGAAGTACCTGTCTAAGGCAGGAGCAGTATTCTGACATGCTAATGTTCATTGTCTAGAAAGCACATTCCATAGGTAAATAAATATAGTTGACAGGTGTTATGTAGAAGGCCACTATTTTTATATTTTGACAATTTTCATTACTCATCAGGTTCCAGAAGTCAATTTCAGAAATTTCTACAAATTATAACTAAATATTTGTAATCTCTATTCAATGTACTGGCATTCTACTCAAAATTAGTTCATAGGCCACTGGAAGACTGCAATTAATGCCTTGCTTAGACCTGATTTAGAGCATTCAGAATATTGTATTTTAATTATCTCTTCAATATTTTGCTTAAATCAAAATCCATTTGAGATGACGGCAGCAGCAACTCCAGATATTGTCAACGATGAAGTTGTGCAGACTAATACTTATTGATCTAATCAGAAATCATGAGGTGACCATCTAATTCCATTTCTTTCACACATCATATACTAAATACTTTCTGAATATAAAAGTCGTGGGGCTAAAATATATCACAGAATTTTGAAAGATGTTTTCCTTATCAAGTTACTGATATATGTAACAGGATCATGTGATTGCTACTTAATGAATTCCCTCAAATGTTTGAAAACAGTCGTGGGGCTAAAATATATCACAGAATTTTGAAAGATGTTTTCCTTATCAAGTTACTGATATATGTAACAGGATCATGTGATTGCTACTTAATGAATTCCCTCAAATGTTTGAAAACAGTCTCCATATTACACAGAAATTCAGAATAAACTAAAGAACCTATAAGTTAATATAGATAGCATCCAAAAAGGATAAAACCATACCTGTCACTAATATTACATATATTGTTATTATAGATCCAAAATTATAATAATCTGGCAATACTGAGAAATGAGTGGCATAATACCAATTCAATTACTTCTGCACGTGATGGAGAATTTTATTACATCAATATTTACTGCATTCAGGAATACTATATAATAATATGGAAATACATATATACATAAGAAAGTACTAAATTCAGATGGCACCAAGATTGTGTTCGCAGTACTAAATGTAGGTACAAGTAAATGCATACTTTTTTCATTCATTTAAAAATTTTCAGTTTTAAAACTTTCAGATCTTTAAATTTCTGACAGTTTCTTTCCATAAAAGTGTACAACCAGAATGTGATTTTTTGTTAAATGTCATTATTAACTGCAGCAAAGCTATTGGCATATTGATGGACTAAATCCAAGTATATTACCATATTATCAACAACACTCATTCATGCATCTTCAAAGGCGAATTTCACATGATGGATTCACATTCTCCTTGTCCGCTGGAATCACAGTACTTCTCTTCAGTTTGGAATATGCCTGGAATGACATAAAATGTTTTAGGATAAGACTGCAGAAAGTAATGTTACTGTCCTCTAAAACTGGGACTGTAATATCTAATCAACTTACATAGAACACAAACTCAGCAACTTTGTCAATAACATAACAACTGAAACTGCCTCTTATGACATGCAATACTAAAACTACTTACTACAAGTACCAAATACTATAATATATAGTACCCAACAATCTTCGGGATCAAGTTGTCAAAATGACTGAAAGAGGACTGATAAGAGAAGTTCATGGTCTAGTTCAATTTATTCAAAGACACATGCGAGACTTACACAAGCATGCTTATTGCTCCAAAGAGAATCTTGACTAACTGGACTGGTACAAACCAAACACCAGGGTAAAACTTGGCAAGAGATACTAGATATTTTCACAAACCTGATGATAATAGCTTGACATTCTCGAAAATAGTTGCACATTGCAAGTCCATCATTCACTCATGGAGCCAAGCCCTTCTTAAGAAGCCGCCAATTGTGCAGCTACAGAACTTCCCAGCATTTTATGGAACCTGAAGGTTCATTGCCGTGTTCACAAGAGCCCTCCACTCGTCCCTATCCTGAGCCAGATAAATCCAATCCATGCCATCCCATTATATTTCTCTAACATCCATTTTAATACTGTGCACCCACATACGTCTTGGTCTTCCTAGTTGTCTCTTTCCTTCTGGGTTTCCCATTCGTGCTACATGCCCTGCCAACCTCATCCTCCTTGACTTGATCATTCTAATTATAATTGGACAAGAGTACAAATTATGAAGCTCCTCATTTTGCAGTTTTCTCCAACCTCCTGTCATTTCATCTCTCTTCAGTCCTAATATTCTCAACACCCTGTTCTCCAACACTCTCAGTCTATGTTCCTCCCTTAATGTCAGAGACCAAGTTTCACACCCATACAGAACCACAGGCAAAATTATAGTTTTGTATATTCTCATCTTTATGTTTTTGGACAGCAGATGGGAAGACAAAGGGTTCTGGACTGAATGGTAGCAAGCATTACCTGAGTTTAATCTCCTCTTAATTTTCACCTCCATCAGGTTTTGATTTGTTATCGTCGTTCCCAAATATGTGAACTGTGCCACATTTTCAGAACATCTGTTTCCTATCTTTATGTCATGATTTTGCCCTGCATTTTGGTAATGAGACAGCAACATATACTTAGTTTTCGCTGTTAAAGTTTGTGTGTTTTTCTACAAGCTATCTACAGTAGAACTTGGTTATAACGTCATCAAAGGGACCTAAAAATAGTGTCGTTATAAACGAATGTCGTTGTAACCGAAATGGGCACTTCCACAGTAGCCTTATGTTAGTCATGTAAAAATCTATCAAAAACCGAGTTAAAATGTTGCATTTTTTAGTGAAATACGTAGTTAAGTACAGACTAACGTAACATTAACGTGGAATTGCCCAAATGTGTAATATCAAAGACATATTACAGCGCTTTTCACTGACAATACACACAATATTTCACGAATCACTTTAACTTTCTCTTCAATGCTTAAAACTTTCCTTTTCATTGCCATGTTTTCGCTACTGCACTTCTCTGGGTTTAGGCAGGAACACTATAGGGTAAGTAGACAATGTGAGGTCCTGTTAGACGAGATTCTAGGAAAGGAATGCAGTTAACAACCTGCCGCGTCCTCTTGCACTATTCACGCAGTCCCACCCCACACCCTTATTTTAACATACAACCCACACTCCTCTTGCAGCCCGCGGTCGTATTCTTCCAGGACAGTCACGTCAGCAAGTAGAGAAAGTGAGGGTGGGCAGACACATCAAACTTTCCCACGATATCAGTGAAATGCATTTGTGCATGTCGTACTAAGCAAGGTATAAAAACAGTTGCTTTATGAGGAATTAGTTTGTACCATTGAATATTTGACGCAATAGACAAGGTGTCGCAGAAACCGATGTTGCTATAACCAAGTTTTACTGTATATTATCACCTAGTAGATTCACATCATCAGCACAGACAAACAGCTAATGTGTCCCATTTAATTCCAGTCCCACCTGGTTTTCCTGGACCTTCCTAATGGCATATTCTAAAGAAAAGTTGAAAAGGAGTGGCACTAAAGCATCTCCTTATTTCAGACCATTCTGGATAGGAAAATTATCAGACAAATGTTTACCTATATTGACTTTACTATATGTTTCATTTAAAAAATTTTAATCAGCCACCTTGCAAGTCCATACATGTGATAAGAACCAAGTAAAAATGCAAAACTTTCTTAAAAAAATTAAAGCTATCCCTGTAACAGGCCGTGGAGGCCCAGAGGGTTGTGAGGTTGAGGCTCCCACACTTTCTAGATAATTGGCCCACAGATGGTGATGAGGTTGTCAGCCTTACATGCCAGCCACCCTTTACCCCTAGGAAGATTCCTATTACTCATTTCTGTTAGAGGCCTAGTTGACCCTGGGGCCACTATGCGGCTGAAAGGATTAGGTCAACTGAAAAATCCAGTGACCTCATTGGGAATAGAACCTGTGAACTTCCTGCTTGTAGCATAGTGCCTCAACCAACTATGCTACCACATGCTCCAAACTTTCTTCAACAAACAAATAAACCCAAACTGAATGCTCTTTGCATCTTGCATCCTAACTAACTAACTCCGTGGCCTGTAGTCCGCAAGCAAACTATACCGACTGAGCGACTGCCGCTTGTTGGCGAAGTTAGTGCCAACTTTGCGGATAGAGGGTGTCATGTTGTCAGCGCATCTTGCATCCTACTTGTCATTATTCAAAATACCAGTCTCATAGATGTAAAAACAAAGCTCCTATTTTTCCGAGAAGAACTTAACAATCCTAAAGTACTTAAAACATTTGCCACTACAATGCCAGACCTTTTCCAATTAACCTTCTGTGATTAATGTAAATGTGATATTATATGCCGTAAGTACTTCACACAATAATGAGAGCTATGCATATTGTCAGCTTTGACTACATATTGAAATTCTGATTCAGAGAATCCTCTGATGGGCGGGTGAGTGATTACATTTGGATGGTTATTTTCTCAGCATCTAAATTTAAGGCAACTCCCAGTTTATCTGTTGCCAGCTGGGATTGTGTAAATAAATCAAAAATTGAAACCATCAATCTCAAAACATGCAAGAATCTGAATTTATAAAGCACTTGCTGGACCAGCACTATCACTTGGCAGGAAAGTATGGGTCACAATGACTGTGAGGGGATATTATTATCGACTGAAATGTACTTCATGAACACTTTTCTACCATAACAATACAGTGGAATAATGACTTTCACAAATAATGCATAGTGAACAGCATGGTGGATGTATAATGCAAAGGAAGAAGGAAAAAGAAAGACTGTGCTTTGATATGATCCTAGTGAAGACTTCTAAAATAATTATTTTTGCTATATCCATTACAGGTTTAATGAATCCTGATACTGGAAAGTATAATGATGTAAGAAGGTACAATATGGAATATTTGACACATATTTCATGTAGTGAGCCTTTATAATAAACCTTCCATGTATGTTGAAGTTTGTTGCAACAGCATTCTTAATCATTCCCCATAGGTCTGTTAATACTTATATGTATTAGTACAAAACAGAATGGAAAAGCATTTCCAAAATCTAAAAGGAACAAACAAGACAGTAAATTACATCATGGGTTGAAAGTCTTGAAAACTGCAGCTGTGACCTAGACCATTTTCAATTTAGTAAATGGATTGCACAGGTTTGGTGACTGGACTTTCCTCTTTGCTACTTGACTGTTGAGAGTTGAAACACTGACAGTGAAGGAACTACTTAAATTCAATTTTTTATACAAACCCTATGGACTGAAGAAGATATTGTGCAACTCACATATATACTTGAAGCTACTGTATCTGTGGTCAGCCATTCAATTAATACTGCTTCAATGGCACATTTAAATGTTTAAAAAAATAAGTTTTACCTTTCATTATCAGACTCTAACAGTTTTATTCCATTAAAACTGCACCAGCAAATTTCTATCTGGTATCTATATTAATTTCCATCAACATCAATAAGCTACATTTAACATACCTGTAAAACTGGTTTTGGCCTCTTTTGATCATTTCCAGAAATAGGTGCAGATAAATCCATCTTTGAATTTTCTTTGTATACAGCATACTGGTTGTTTAGATTTTTCATCACCAGAGGTTTTGAAGTATCCTTCTGAAAACTGGGCGATTTTGAATGGTCTTTCCTGAGACCATTACCAAATGCCGTAGACTTATTGGATGAAGTATGAATTTTAGATTTATCAAAGTAGTTTTGTGTCGGTGAAGTTTTCTTCTGTTTTGGGGGTTGTACATTAGACACAGATTTTGATCTTCTATGATGTTCAGGAACTGGTTTGGTATTTTCCTTCTGTTGGATACTATCTACAGATTTATTGGCAGGCAGAACAACAGTTCTAGTACTCTCAAATGCTCGAGTTTGCAATGTATGCTTCTCTCTGACATCCCTAATTGGAATAGGAGATGCTAAACATTTCAAAGTACTGCGATTTGGAGATGAATATCTGCCTTTTCTTGTTGGAGTGGAAGTTACTGCCAAACCTGACAGATTGAAATTTGTAATGCTACTGGATGGTTTGCCTTTCTGTTGAGAGCCAAGAGTTGGTATGTTGCATGATGGCTGCTTACAAATTGGGGATGCAGGCTGTACATTCAAGAGAGGTTTTGAATTATCTCTGGTATCAACAGGGGGATGATTATTATCACAATGGGAGGGTTGTTTTAGAAGACTGACAGAGAGTGATGCAAGAGAAGGAATTCCACTGGTAAGAGAGTTTGCACGGCGTAGAATGGGAACACACATTGGTTGGGACAGCGCTGTAAATGATCTGTTAATCCCAGAACTGAAAAGAATAAAACAAATATCAAAGAAAAGCACAATATGGTACACAATATTCTTGGAATTGAATAAAGAAAACGAGTTGCTGGAATGCTATATGTAATTACAACAAACATTTCACTTTGAAAATGTACATATCACAGCTCACCTTTCTTTCTTCGTAGCAACCGTCCTTGAATCAAGCTGAGACACTGCAGCAGGATTCACATCCCTTTTCTGACAAGATAAAAAATTATTCTTTTATTCAATAATTCAAAATATAAAATTTACACACCCCAAAAGACTGGTTTATTATAATAATACCTAAGAATGTATTATGCCTTAATATGGAGTCGTAACATATTGTGACGAATATGCCCATTGCTAGGGAATGGCTTGATAAACACCTTCCCATGGAGACAGATTCTTGGTAAACAGGCCGTTGCTATGTAATGCCTACAACAATACGTAATAGTAGACGTCCACTGTCAGGAAATGGACAGGTTTTCTGTGTGGTCTGACTCCAGGCTATATAATGAGAAGTGACAAAAAGGACGTCTCACCCGCCTGGGAATTTGCAGCAGACACCCATCTAGTTAATTGCAGCACCTGCAAAACAAGGTTCTCCGCACAATTGGCAATTTTCCAAGGCGCACACCGGTCCGCGAATTGCACATGGCATTCAAAATTCCATACGTATATGATTAAATAACAAAATTATGCAGGCAACAAGCAGAAGTCATACAAAATCATGATAATGAGAATGTTCACAACATTGGACAAGGTGAAGCCAGCCACAGAAAGTATAAGAGGCCTAAACTTGGCGGCGGTCAGGCATACGACCGTTCAAGTGACTAGACTGCCGTGATAGCGATTACTACTAGAAATAGGGCATAATCTGCTGTACAATGCCTGGATTGACAGAGGCCTTGTATATATTGTACATAGAAATAGGAATTAAGATTAAATTTGTAAATGTATGTAAATACTGACTACGGACTTACTAACACAGACTATGACTGATAAATGACAGACCCGACCTCTCGTCAGAGAGGGCGCCCCAAATGAACAGGACAGTAACTTTCATATAAGGGAAAAAAAGAGAAAAAAAAAATCTGGTCATGAGCCCCAGTTGGGGCTCGACACCAAGACAGACAGACTGACGGACAGTCAGTCGCAATGTGACTTGGCCTTGGAGGAAGTCTCAGAACCCGTGTGGAGGAGGGATCAAATACCTCCACCATGACCCTGCGAGTTGTAGGAGGCGACGAAAAGGGAAGTCTCAAAACAGACACAGTAAAATATGGTCGAGAGTCCCAAGGGACTCAGACGCATCCTCTTGTCAGAGAGGGCACCCCAATAAACAAGACCGTAATGGTCAAGCAGTAATAAATATATGGTCATGAGCCCCAGATGGGGCTCGACACCAAGACTTACTGACTGACTGACCGTCAGTCACAATGTGACTTTGACTTTGGAAGTCTGAGCCAGTTCCACCCATGTGGAGGTGGGGTCAAATACCTGCACTGTGACCGTGTGAGTTGTAGGAGGCGACGAAAAGGGAAGTCTCAAATCTGAGACAGTAAAAGATGGTCGCGAGTCCCATGGGACTCGGACCCAAGAAAGACTGCAATGGCAAGGGCCAGTAGCATGGAAAAAAAGACAGACCTGTCCTCTTGTCAGAGAGGACACCCCACAAAAAACAAAACCGTAACGTTCATCAGTAATCAATATCTGGTCATGAGCCCCAGACGGGGCTTGACACCAAGACTTACTGACTGACTCAACGTCAGTTGCAATGTGACTTGGGAAGTCTCATACCTGTGTGGAGGCGGGGTCGAATACCTCCACTGTAACCCTGTGAGTTGTAGGAGGCAACGAAAAGGGAAGTCTCAAATCTAAGACAGTAAAATATGGTTGCAACTCCCAAGGGACTCGGACCCGAGAAAGACTGCGCTGGAAAGAGCCAGCAGCATATACAAAAGACAGATCCATCCTCTCATCAGAGAAGGCGCCCCACAGAAACAAGACCATAACTGTCAAACGGTAATAATCATGAGCCCCAGATGGGGCTCAACACCAAGACTTACTGACTGACTGACTGACAGTTGCAATGTGACTTTGACTTTGAGGGAAGTCTCAATGGTAAACCGCCAGTCGTAAAGTAACTCTGACTCTGGGAAGTCTTAAATCTGAGACAGTAAAATATAGTAGCGAGTCCCAAGGGACTCGGATCTGAGAAAGACCACACTGGCAAGGACCAGCAGCATATGTAAAAGACAGACCCGTCCTCTTGTCAGAGAGATCGCCCCACAAAAATAAGACTGTAATTGTCAAATGGTGATAATTAATATCTGGGGCTCGACACCAAGACTTACTGACTGACTGACTGTCAGTCGCAATATGACTGACTTGAACTGACAGTTCAGATGAACTGTGTGGAGGAGGGTTCGAATACCTCCACCGTGAACCCATGAGTTGTGGGAGGCGACGAAAATGGAAGTCTCAAATTTGAGACAGTAATATACCAAGGGACTTGCACCCAAGAAAGACTGTGCTGGCAAGGACCAGCATCATATACAAAAGACAGACACGTCATCTCATCAGAGAGGGCGCCCACAAAAAACAAGACCATAACTGTCCCACAGTAATAAAGATCTGGTCGCAAGACCTAGATGGGGGCTTTATGCCAATACAGATTGAGTGACTGACCACTGGTCATAAAATGAGACTTAGACTCAACTGACAGTTCAATTGGGATAATGGATTAGTGTAGTGTGGTCAGAAGTCAAGAGTGTCCAGTCAAAGATAGAGATTTGTGAGATACTGTAACAAGATGTATAAATATCCAATAAATTTGATCATCAAATCCAAAACCCGTTTTATAAGTCATGCAAACTTCTAATACATGACAATATGTATGATATCTTTAGATCATATTTAATTTTAAAACTTTTGTGGAAAAAAACTGCAATACTACCATCAAAATTTATTCATAAACAGCAGCATTATTACATTTCATTTCCAGTGAAGTGGGCATAGGAAATGGACTTCCACATATTATACCAAACCCCAGTCAAGTCGTGTATCAGTTTCTTGCAAATAAATGTTTATTTTTAGCCAATTTTGCACAATTTCACATATTTTCACAAGTCCTATTTTTTTAGAATTTTGGTTTATATGAATATATATTTTTAGATCTAATTACGTTCATTCTAACAAGAATTCATAGTGGCATGAATTGCAAAAAAGAAATAATTTTGAATATAAGATGACTGAACATGAAAAGAAACTAACCAAGTAGTCAGAGGTTAAAAATGTGGAAAACATAATGTCATGTGATGAAATGACTATAGATGGTGTTCAGACTGCTAAGTGGATTTACTGAACACTTACATATCGTAACTAAGGTAACTATAGCAGTCTCACTATTCACACATTCAGCAGTTCACTACAGCTCATACTAAGTTTTCTCAGTCTGCTGTGTCTTCACCAGACGTCCAGTAATGGCTTAAAATACCATAGATCCCTCAACTCCCATGTTCACATCCTTACTGGCCAGCAACTGCCTCACAAGTATTAAAGTCTAAACTTGTCATGCCTATAACACCCTGGGAGAGTTCGCACAGAAAACAGCTCTTGTATTGTGTCACATGGACTGCGGAGAGGACACCCCTTCTCAGTTAGTCCATTCATGTGTTAGAAATATGTTGCAGCCATTACCTAGCAACAGCTGCTGTTTACAGTGTCATTACTTAGCAACAAGTCTACATGCTACAATGTCTTACATTTAGAGGGTTCTATGAACTATGGCTTTCTTCAGCACAAAAGCTGTTAAGTCTCTATTGACCTCAGTCTATAATCAATAATTATATTTACACATAATTTACATTTTATTCTTATAAGTTTTGATTCTGTTAACCTATACAGGATGTGACTGCAACCTGGCCAAAGTGACTAATAACTAAAGGCTAAATGCAGTTTTATATTAATTAATTTGTATGTACAAAGTATGTATATTAAGGCTGGATGTACAGAACTACATTATAATTCATTAAACACCCTTACAGGGCAGAAAGAAGCATCGAGGCTATAGCATATTTTTCCTGAATGACCATTACTAAATAAAATATAGTAGTCACCTATGTGAAAGCCAGTCATCACTCATTTACACTTCCACCTGGGTCATCTTGTCACACAGCCTTCTCTACTTTTGAGGCCTCTTGTAAGCCTAATAATTTGACTCCAGTGCATGAAATGGTCTGAAATTTTTATAACTGAGAATCAACCAGAGGCCCAAATAATTTATGAAGGAACCCAGCCAAGAGTTTCACTCCAAAACAGTGATGAATAATTAACGGTTTAATGCATACCAAATTAAAGGTACCTGTGCATATTGTACATACTGTGACAGCAAAATCCTCCCTTACCTGAATCTGAGTATTGCTGGATTCTCTCTTGTGATTAAGTAATGACCTAACCGAAGGCTTTGGTGTGCTAGTGACCATAGCTACCGAATTATCTTTAAGTACATAATCTTCTCCCTGCACTCCTGAAAGGAATGCAAATAGCCATATGTGACACCATCTTTTGGTAAGAACTCTGAAAGAGTTTAAAAATGAACAGACACAAGTTTACCAGGTTACAATGTGCACATGTGTGCACACACACAAATGGGCAGTCATATTTGAATATCAACCATGTCAATTTTACAGTCTTGCACCCCCACTTCTGCTGTGGAAAGCAACTTGGTATGGTAGAGCAGGTATCTGCCTCTAATATAACATTGACCATGAGCTCCTTTACTCACTACTTTTACTGGAATTACTGCAGGTACTGTAGCTTTTTTGGAAACATAAAAATGAGCTATCTACGTGCAGAGCATCCTGGCAGCCACCACTCCTTTCTTCATAATCTCTTCAGTAAGAGCTTCAATTATATAGTAACTACAATACCTATAGCATTGAGGGGGTAATGTGTAACATTTTATTCATTGTTTATTAATGTGTTGATGGAAAGAGCATCCTCAGAATTCCTCACCTTTCTTTTCAAGCCCACTCGCTCGTGTCATGTTACTGACTGGAACAACTGCTTTCACTGGACCTCGTTTTCCAACTTCCTGCTTTCTCTTAGGTTTCAATCTTGTATCTCTTCCTGCCTTGTCATCCGTAAGACTCATTGGTGGTGGAAGAACAACATTTGGTACAGCCCTGTTCAACTTCTTGTCTACTGACTAGAAAAATGACCTATGTGTTACTTATGGTTGTGTTTTTGTTTTACTTTCACAGAAGAGAGACTGAATTTACAGTGAAAGTCCACTACAGTAATTCAGAACATCATAAAAAATTGACACTATAATGAATATTCATTACGAGTACAAGCAACATGGGACATTTAAACATCAATCCAAATATCAAACAGTGAATCATTTCAGTAATCTCACTATAAAGAAAAATGTGCAGTTTATGAGGTAAGTTACTCTGTAATATGTAAATTAAATGTGCATCATACAGTCAAATATGAAGTCAATACACAATGGGACTTTGTCAACTCAATATTCTTACTTTGAATATATGAACACAGACTGGGAAATATTGTCTAAATGGTACTAACCATTTGGGGGGGAGGGGGAAGCCTGTGGTCTAGTGCCAAAATGCAAATGTATTAACAACCAAATTTCCTACTATTTCTGTTCTGCATTTTTTCTTCACTGCTGTGCATTTTCCTGACAACTTTCTTACTAACAATACATTATGCCTCTTATTACTGCTGAAACAGAACCTACATAAGCACATCATCTCACTGTTATGATCAAGTCTGCGTATAGTACTCACAAATTCACTACCACTGCTGTAAGAAATGAGATGTGCTTTCCAAGGAGTGATGAGGGATTTGTAGATGTGGTTCAAAGTGGTGAATGTACGTTAAGTCTCTACTAACACAAGGATTTTCCACCAAACATAAAATGTGTATTAAAGGTCATGCAAATGTTCTGTAAATTGTTCTTTAAAAGGCTTCAAAATAATCAATAGGATTAATGGTATGGGGTTTTCCTTTAGCTGAGCTAGTAAGTACCTTTGACAAACACTTTTTTAAAGCTAACTCATTTGCCTACTTCCAGTTTCATTCAGTTTTGTGCATGGGCAAGCAGTCAGTCATCTACCCTGCAACAATCCTCAGTAGAACCCATACTCATCACTTCAGACTTCCACTGTATTACTCTTTGTTATATCCCCTGGAGTCACATTTTTAAGAAGTACTGGTATCCTAGAGAGGAATAGCATGATGTCAGTAGCAAACTAATGGACAAAAATGGAATAATCTAAGTTTTGTTAAGTGTGGAAAATACTCCATATGAAATCAGACTTTATCTTTCTTGCTTCATTGTTGAAAGATACATACAGATAAGAGACGAGTATGCAGACTAAGGCCTTGGATTCTCTGTTTAGAGAGAGGTGGTGTTGAGGAGCCCGAGCAGCTGCTAGAACTTCGCTTAGATGAGGGCGAAGTTACAGATGATTCACTGGATGTACTACTGCATCCAGAATTTTTATTCACATCAAATTTCTGCAATGGAAATGGGTAAAATTTACTATAAAAACTTGCATCAAGAAGGTGAAAGCTAAACGAGTATAGTAATACTACCCTGCCTTCTAAACACATACTGTATTACACCCAAAGAAATCTGGAGTATCAAAACAACAAAAATTAAATTCTTTCTTTTATGTTTCTCACTCTCAAAGTTTGAACCCCATATGGTTTTAAGAATGTATGAAGCTGAATATAAAGAAAACTATTCAAATTGCAACGTTAATATAATTTTTCCTGAAGCAATAAGTAGCAGTGGTAATAACTGAAACAATAATTGGCTTACTGTGTAGTGGGTCTTATGACCAATGCCCAGACCTCCTATCAAAGACACCAGATATAAAACACATATGATTTTGTAAAGATTTAAAATGGACAAAGCTTCGCATATTTATTGCTTTCACTCACTTTCCCTACTATGCATACTACCATTTCACTACTGCCATCAGAATGACAAAATAAAAATCATATATAATTTCAAATCTTCAATTTATCAGTCAGTACCATCACTGGCAACTGTGCTTAAGGAATGTATTACTGAAGAGCAGCGTTCTTTTGTGGGCAAAATGACTCAATGCAAATGATATTCATAAAGAAATATTTCCTGTTTATGTTGAGAAGTGTTTGTCGCATAAAACAGTTCCACCTTGGTGGCATATGTTTTGCTGACAAAGAGGTTGAAACAGAGGTGCTGAAGTGGCCGAGATATCAGTCAAAAGACTTGTATGCTGTGGGTTTTGATGCACTGGTGAAGATATGGGACAAGTGTATCAATGCTGGTGGAGGATATGTTGAGAAATAAATGTTTTTTTTTAGGTTGTAATACCACATGTTTTATATCAATTGTGACCTATTTACTGAATCTTCCTCATATATACATTTGTCAATTTAATAACAAATGATACTGTCATGTGTATGTGTAATTACAGACATGGTTTGGATTTACTGACCACTTTTATTCATGATATGTGACTACATTTAACTATAGTACCATCACTGATCTCCACACTTTACAAATCTCTACAGCACATGCTAAGTCTTTTCAGACTGCTGCGTCTTCACCAGTCATTCCCTGGTAATTGCTCCTAACAGTGGAGATCCTTCAGCTTCCGTGCTCACTTCACTACCCACTGGCTCGCAACTGAACTCATTATTAAGTTATCTCTTCACAGACTCCCTTACAAGTGAACTACTGCTCAGCTGATGTCTCAGTTATAAAATCTTGGCATGGACCACGCAGAAAACACTATTTCCAACTGTTTCTTTATTGTTGAATGTGAACTCGTGAGAACCTGTTTGTTCCATGGTTGCTACCTAGTAATGGACCTACATGCTACAATACTTTCATACAGTACTATTTTTCATTGTTACAATTCATTTAATGTTTCATTCTATAGCATAAAATAGGTCTACCTTAAAAATGTTAATTAGCATTACAAGTATAAGCTCAACAACATTATACTCTACTTGCAGTTCTGACAGTTTCCTAAATGTAGTTTGTGTATAACACACACATGAAAATGGTCTTATCAGACTAAAGCAGCGTTGTGGAGTTAATTTGTTTCTTATTGAAATAAAGGTTTCATGCAAATGCTATACTGTGATTATTGTACTTTACTTAAGCCAATTGTTCTTACATATCTTCATTTCAAATTCTTTCCTCCACAAAATAAAGAAGAGTGGAAAGTAGAATACATGAAAGAAAGAGGAAGGAGAGAAAATCTTATATATTACTTCAATATAATATTCCCTCTCTTTCTAGAAGGAATAAAGACATGTTTAAATTTTCAAGCAAGATCATTCTCTCTGTGTGCACATGCACATATGTGTGTGCGCGTGCGCACACACACACACACACATAAACAACTATAAATTACATAACAAGGATCATTTGGAAAATATTTCTTATATCTACTAGTTTTACCTTCCTAATCTGAGAATTAATATGAAATACAAAATTAGGCCACAAAAAAGATGCAGCAGTTTTCCAAAATTTGCTACACTTGAATGCATGTTATCATTACCTTTTGAGGTGTGGCTCTTTTATGTTCACATCTGTCATCTAGGGCCACATCATTTTGTGCTGACCCTGTCTTCTGACTTCTTTCATATGCACATTTCTTTTTCTCAGCACCAGTTTGAAGGTTGTTCTTTTCTGCATGCTCTGAACCATCCTCTTCTAAATTGAATTTTGGTAAATTCAGCTGAGAGACCTCCCACTGGGGTTTACAGGTTAAGAGATCTTCCTCCTCATCACTTGCTGTAATGGTTGTAACACCAAAGTTCTTATATTATAGAAAAATTTAATTCATATCTATGATATTCATGAATACTTTATAAGCGTACTGCTGCTATTATTACAATTGTTCAACAAACAGCACTTTATGGCTGTCTCAATAAATATTTTGTCAATTTCTTCAAGAACTTTCTAGTGAAAAATAACTATATTATCTCTCAGGAAAATAATATCTATAGTATCTATAAATAGCCCAACCAAAAATAAATACTACAAAAACAGGTCAGCTACATAGCTAAAATGGTGCCAAGCATGAGAAAGGCAATTTATGTTTTAGGGAGGGAGGGAGAGTGGACCTGGCTTCCCCACCAAACTTTCCTCTTCCTATTCTGGACTGCTCTCTGCTACCTACAGACCCTTCCCCTCTTCTCTCTACTGATTTCCCATGTGGCCCACTCTCCCTCCCTCCCTCCCACCCTCTGTTCTTACATAGCTGGGTGTTTTTGACTGGTGGCTCAGTCTGCTAGCCATCTGCTCACACTGGTCCTTCGCTCGCGGATTTATACCCTGGACATGGAGGCAATACATTGTGCCAAAACATCAGTTCACACAAGATCGACATGGTGCCACATCCCAGAAGATGACATTCTTCAGCTCAAATGGGTGTATTAAGATAATGGGGGAAATGAGTAATGACAATGTGAGAAACCCAAATACCATGCATCAATGCAATATCCAAAAAAAGAACAGTAGGTGAACACAGAGATGACTGAATGGAACAACCATATATCATGAATAGCATTCAATAGGACTGTATAAATAACTACATACAATTCCTCTAAATGAGCAGTCCTGGAAGAGTGCACTACAGATGGGATGACAAGAACCACACAAACCACAGAGAAAGCAGGCCCATGCCTTAGAGAAAAGAAGGTGTACTTACAAGTTAACTGAGTGAAGCTGTCTGCTACATTACTGAAGACAAAAGCCAAAGTATTTGCTTCCATGCACAATGAGTCATCTCCATCAATCTGCAAGTGAAGTAGTAACAGTAAATCAATAAACCTGTGACTTCATTGTTATGTATACCATAAATAATATAATAATTATAAAATATGATGGCTCTAAAAAGCTGTAACAGTCAAATATACTGTATATTCATATCTGTATGAAGTGTATATGATATATTCTACATTTTTTTTCCTTGGCACTACAGCCCCAGTGGGCCTAGGCCTACCTCCATGAACTCCGTTCACTTCGGTTTTTCTAGATCTTACACATTCGGTAGGACTCCTTGGGCGAGTGATCAGCTTGTCACAAGGCCTCTACCTGTAGACAAACACAGAAAAACGCACACAAACATCCATACCCTGAATGGGATTTGAACCCATGATCCCGGCTTCCGAGCGAGCGAAGACAGTGCATGCCTTAGACTGCTCGGCTGCCGTGACCGGCATATTCTACATACTTGGCTTAATTCTATAAAAATCTATTGAATGTAAATAAATTCTAATTGTAATTCTTACTCTGTTGAAGAAGTGACTGTAGTTGAAAATTTTAAGTACTGGTACTGTAAGTATCTATGAACTGTGGTGTAATTATTTTGCTCTGCATAATACAACATTTGGAAAAGATGTATGAAAACAGCAGTAACCACTATGTATTTATGCTAGAATTGGTATAAATTAACGCATTCATGTAATGACATATTACAAATTTTGGGCTTTGTGCAAGAGGTCTGAAAAGTAAGGTAGAAAAATTTTATTGTGAGAAAATGTAACTGTACCATTATGTCATTACAAGACAATCAAGGTACATATTTATATTACCTTTTAATATAACTGCCTTGTCTAGTAAGGTATTTGTCCCACCATGAGATTAGGTTATACATCCCCTTAGAACAGAAGTCTGGGCTTAATCATGAGAGCCAACGAGGTACTCGAACATCCTAATCTGTGTCAAAGTGTCTTGAAAAATGTGCTCCTTTAAAGACTTAATCTAATGGAACTTGGAGGGGACTAAAAGTCTGGGCTGTCACATGGAATTGTCATGCAACACAACACTCTTTTTCAGGAGTTCATCATATTGAAATACACGTTTGTTTGACGTCATATTCTCTCCACAGATAGACATAAACTCTTGAATGTCACTTGCTTCAGTCCCTTTTAGCATGTAAAACCTAAATGAATGAATGGATTTCCACATTGGATCTAGTCTTCAGTGGCAGTCATTTTGGTTGACTTGCCATATATAAACAATCAGCAGCGACATTTCTTGGCAGTTTTCAGAAGTACCATGTAAGTAACTTAAATAATGAGCACATTTATTGCTGCTGAATAAAATGCCTGGCAACAAATAATTTTGCTACCATACATTTTGGACCTCCCTCTATGAAATATACATAAACTCTATGCTATTATGAGGAGCCCGGATATCACAGTCAGTATAGCGACTGTCTATGGGCTGGATGACAGAAAGGTAAAATATTTTCTCTTCTCTACATTGTCCAGACAAGTTCTGGGGCCCACCTAGTCTCCTATCCAATGGGTACAGGGGGTTCTTTTTCAGGGGATAAAGTGGCCCGGGCGTGAAGCTGACCACTCACTTCCAAGTAGTGCTGAGGTCAAGAAAATGTGGATCTATACATCCACTTCCCCATATGCCTTCATGGCATAGTGCTTAATTAGTTAAATACAGGGACAACTTTACCTATTCTACTACAAATAATTTCATACAAAACTTATGCACGTGTGAGACCTATGCAAAATGTAGAATTCTATATTTCATAAGCACATACCGTTGCCTCCAATTTTGCAATTAACGGAGTATAATCTTAATGATTGAACTGGCCATAAATTTTAAAGTTTTTCATATATGAATATCGAAATAACATTCCACAAAATATCACTGTAAGAATGAAACGTTTATATAGAATGATAAACTGATACTTAGGATTTGTTGAGCCCAAAGAGCTTACTCTCATGGAGGCTAAGTTAAACTTTGTGGAATTAAGTCACTGGAACAAACATCCAGAATACAGAGACCCTGGGCTCATGCAATATTTAAATTTAATATAAAGTTTCACCATAGGGGTTTCAGACAAATGTAGTTGGAGATGATTTCAAAGAAAAATAAGAAGAAAAAAGGCAAAAAATTAGTTGCATAAAAAGGGTTGGAATACAGTGGAATTAAATTATTTACCTTTAAATTAGTAAAATATTACATTTATAAGAACAGATGTATATTAGCAACCCCATTTTATTTCAAGTCCTTTTTTTTTTCTAATACAACATATTTTCTGAATGTATTCCTTGAAATTTTGAACATTTCATTGGTCATCAAGTTCATTCATTGCAGAGGGGTATTAGGGGTTATTTTCCAGTGGGCAAACCAGCCAAGACATTAGGTAGTGGCAGGTAAAAAAAAAAGTGTGGAGCATAATTCCACTCCTCTATAGGTCTTTCAAGGGGTTGTTTATCCATTAGGGCAACTTTACTTTTTACCTTTTACAAAAATATATTGCAGGGACACTGATGCTGTACAGTCAGAAAAAAATACTTCCTTGTATTATATTAATCATGTCGGTCATGGTAGCCGAGCGGTCTAAGGCATGCACTGTCTTCGCTTGCTCGGAAGCCGGGATCGTGGGTTCGAATCCCACTCAGGGCATGGATGTTTGTGTTTGTATCTGTGTTTGTCTACAGGTAGAGGTCTTGCGACAAGCTGATCACTCGCCCAAGGAGTCCTACCGTATGTGTAAGATCTAGTAAACCGAAGTGAAACGGAGAGTTTCATGGAGGTAGGCCTAGGCCCAAATTGGGGCTGTAGCGCCACAGGAATTAATTATATTAATCATCCATACTGAGAGGATTGGTATAGCGACATTGCTCTTGACTTGTATTTGGAAGACATTTAGTTTGAATCTCAGCCAAGACACCAACTATGCTGACTGAGATTATTTATTTATTTATGTTTATCAGTTACTCCAGGCAAATGCAGGGATAATGCCTTGATTATGTCATGATTGTTTCATGTCATGCCCTTTCCAATTCATCATTCATTTATCATCTTACCATCAGACGCTATATAGTCTGGTTACTGACACCACTTTAAAATAACACACGCATGCACACATACAAAATCTAAAACATGCTGCAAATATAAATTGCCGATTTTAACAAGCTCTATATTTCACATCATTTTAATCACACATCTCTGTATTATGAGACTTTTCTTAAGAAAATCGATGACATTTGATTTGAGTTTCATGTAAAGTAGGGGTTATAATCGATATAAACCAAAATTGAAACTTGCCAATTATTTTAGTGCTGACCCTCAATACCCAGTTTTATACAGATCAAATAACCCTTTTCAGGGATATGACAGACAGACAGACAGACAGATCTCTCGATACTGTATTGATTTCCTAGACTTCACACAAAATAATGTATACTGTCTACAATAATATGAACAGTTTTTTCATAACTGAAATGTTATACAATAAAAGTGTAAGTTATTTTGTTTTAATTCTTGCTTGCTGATAGCTCAAAACAAACAACCTTCATAAATTATATGTAGTGGGGTACTAATAGTGTTCCAACTTTTGTTAACGTCATTATAGTTGGCTGAGGCACTATGCTACAAGCCATAAGGTCGTGGTTTCGATTTCCAATGAGGTCATTAGATTTTTCAATTGCTCTAATCCTTCCATTCATACTATAACCCTAAGGTTGACTCAGCCTCCGACAAAAATGAGTACCATGAATCTTCCTGCGGGTAAAGGGCAGCCAGTGCATAAGGTTGACAAACCTCACCTCCATCTGAACTGATTGTGTACAAAATGTGCGAGCCTCAACATCTCACAACCCTATGGGCCTCCATGGCCTGTTACAGAGATAGCTTTAACTTTTTTTTTATACAATACAAACTTGTTCTTAAAGAAACTTTTATATACTTCTCTGAAACAGCCTTCATCTAGATCAATACTAACCTCCTCATTCTTGTTACTGTAAGGTGAACTGACAGACCATGAAGATGGCAACGATCTTCTAACATATATATTTCCTGCCAAGTAATCTGAAATAAGAAAACAGTAAAATATTTTAATTCTCATTTATTACTGACATGTTCTCAAATATATAAACAGTCTGTCAATCACATTAAACTAATGAAATACTTATTGAAAATTCAGAAATCATGATTTCATTGAATATGCATGCTGTGAACTTGAAACATTCTGTAGACAGCTTCATAGGATATACATAATAAGAAGTTAGAAGTACCTTTTTTATCAAAGGATGATACTATAATGCTAACTGAAACATTGCTGAAGCTATTAAAATGGTGACTAGTATGAACAGAAATACAAGAGAAGTAGCTCAGCATACATCAATGACTTTCCAAAAAAGTTCAGATAAAACATCTAGAGCACCAATTTCAGTAGAATATTCAGTTACTACCAGCAGCACTAACAGTAACACAAGAACTTGCCATTTTGTTGTATATGACAGTCTAAGTATTGAATCTGCTTTCAAAAGATCTCAGAAGAACAATCTTTGGCAGCCATAGTGAGAACTATGCAGATTACTACCTTCTAGGATGTGATGCCTGAATAGCCTCAAGACTGCGGCAACATGTTCCTCTGGGACATAGGTAGTGACCTACCAGACTACTTGGCATCAATCCCAGAAGACAGAAATTTTTTCATCCAGAGTATTTTACAATATATGAAGCAGTGGTGTTAGGTTCAGCATAGCACACAAAACATATGCAGAACCTTTCCTTCATTTCTGGGACCAGGCAGAAGTCACACAGAGCTGCATCTAGTTTATCAACTCCATGCCTACAATCTCTTGTTCTATGTTACTTGTGACTGGTATGATAGATGGGGACATATCACACTGCAGTGTTTCTTTACCAGAGTATGTCTTGAATAATCCAAAGGGCCTGAATCAACAATTATAGGGCATGTTAGATTGTACAGAATTCATGTTAACAAATACACCAATTTTTTTCATGACAGTCATCAACATTTTAGATCAACATTTTTTTGAACACAGTTTTCCTTCTTTGCATCCAGCAATCTATAATTATTCTTGTTGTTAAATGGATTTATAGGTAAATTAACCTATCTGCTTATTAGATTGTAAGGTTATAGAAACATATTGTGACATGATGCCTGAACACTGGAGTGGACCACAGAAGCTGAAGAAGTCAGTCATGCAGAAGAGAAGACACCTGTAGTCCAGTAACGAATGGAGTGAGTCTTAGGCAGCCATGGATTGTGAGCTGGTGTAAGTGATTGTAATTGTATAGAAGTGCCAATAAATCCAATCATCCAATACAAAACCTATTATTCTTCATCATGGAACCCCGGACACGTAACAATATATAAAAGTATGTAATACTACTTAATATTAAAGCCTAGATAGGCGTGCATGTGAGGTCTATTATAACTGCTGGTCTTCACTATGCATAGTTATTTATTTTTTATATTTTAAAATCTAGTAATGGATATTGTGGCCGAGATGTTAACACTCCTGCTTCATATTTGGAAGCATCTGGGTTCATATCTTAGCCTGAAGACTGGCTACCTCCACTAAGAGTTCTCATGGCTTTCCTCAGTCCCTCTAGACAAATGCCAGGTTAGTACCTTAAATTAGGCCATGACTACTTCCTTTCATGTAATTTCCAATCTACTATTTACTAATCATGCTAGCATTTGATGTTATACTGCGTGAGCTCAAAGTGGCTTTACAACTTTCAGTGGGTACAGAAATGCAATGACATGATGTATAACAAGTAACATAATAATACAGCAAGACCCATTGAGTTCTAGTAGCTACATGGTTTAAATCTGCAAGGAGAAACTGTGGAAAACCTATACAAAATTAATCCAGGATAAGTTTTCACAGTGGTGGTTAAGATGAGTTCAGTCTTTTGGGATATAACACTGTGTAGTCCACTGAAAGTCAATTGACGTTTTCATGGAACATGTTGCCTCTGAAATGTCAGCTGACTTTCAATGGACTACATGGTATTATATCCCAGAAGGCAGAACTCTTCATCCAGGATGGCTGGTCCTCAGCTGGGATTAAAATTAAGTACATCCTGAATGCAAGTTAGCTATATCTTCCAATTTATTTGGTGTTTTACTTAATTAATATGGGATCAACAATAGTTCTGATGGCAGTAAAGTATGCATTGTAAGAGCACAGTCACACTTCAGAACTTGAGGCAAGCAGTGATATCTGACAGAAGTGACCCAAGTCTTTCATGATTTGTCATGCCTTAAAACTACGTTACATTAGTGTCTCTTTCATATTTGGTTCTGTAGTAAGTGTACAAGATAACTTGTACATACCAAGTATTTACAACCCAAATATATTGTTTGTGATTTTATATTGGAAATTGTTGTATGTTTCATAATGTGGGGCATCTTATAGTGCAAAAAGTACAACATATATACCACTCTCTTTTAGACATATGTAACAGTAATGGAACAATTTAAGGAACTACTTATCAAATTACTAAATTCAACTAAGAATAAAAAATAACATACTGCAGTCATGTAGAAATTAAGACAAACAGAATGCCATGACACCTACAATTCTCATGACTGAATTTGGAATTTTCTTCAAACTACATTATAGCTGTAATAGCATTTCATTTTCCTTTCTTCCACCCCTTTCATACCTTTACCACCGCTTCTCCCTTACTTTAAAACAGATCCCTCCCCTCCACCCCACTGGCTCCAGAACTCCTTAACCTGTAAAAGCATTCTTCAGAATAGCGGACACTAAGGAATAAAATAAGATACATTTAGTTGTTGGTAAATTCTTAATACAATGGATTGCTTGATGAAGTGATACCACTTTCACAGTATCTGGTCTAATGCCACTTCAGTCATAAATAAGCGAACAACATGCTTGGAGGAGCATGCCCACCAGGAGGCAGTACAGCCCACTTTAGGAACCACTGCACTACCCCTTTCAACCATTTATCTCCTCCCTCCTTTCTAGTGCATTCTTCTTCCAACTCTTTTATTTGTATGAGGGGGGACCCAAAAATAACCGGAACCGACCTGTTGCGCGCGCATGCTTTGTAGTTACGAGTTGTGCTGCTAGGTGGTGTTAGCTGGGGGTCTCCCGCGACTGTTAGTGAGCTGGCGTCAGTCTGAGTTAAGTGGTTTGTCTGTGGTGCTCTGTTGTGTGCGTTCCTGTTTCAACCCTTTGGCGATTAGTGAGATGGCCGACCAGAAGGAACAAAGAGTGTGCGTGAAATTTTGCTTTCTGTTAGGGAAAACTGCAGCCGAGACTGTTGGGATGCTTCGGCAAGCCTTTAATGATGATGCTTTGGGGAAATCACAGGTCTACGAGTGGTTTTCCCGTTTCAAATCTGGCAACATGTCAACAGAAGACATGCCACGCCCCGGGCGTCCTTCGACAGGAAGAAATGACGAAAACATTGCCAAAATCAAACGTGCAATTGATGAAGATCGTCGAAAGACCATTGACCAACTTTCTGAGGAAACGAACATCTCATGGAGCACGGTCCAGCGAATTTTAACCGAAGGTTTGCACATGAGACGGGTGTCTGCAAAATTTGTTCCTCGCTTGCTCGGAGATGACCAAAGAGAAAACCGCGTGAATGTTTGCCGCGACTTGAAGAGTGAAGTGCAGAACGATCCAGAATTTCTTAAAAGAATTGTGACTGGCGATGAGTCTTGGTGCTACGGGTACGATCCAGAATCAAAGCAATCATCAAGCCAGTGGAAAACTCCAACTTCACCACGACCGAAGAAAGCGCGTCAAGTGCGATCCAATGTGAAAACAATGTTGATTTGTTTTTTTGATGTGAATGGCATTGTCCACAAAGAGTTCGTTCCGCCAGGACAAACAGTGAACCAACATTTTTACCTGGATGTGTTACGAAGATTACGAGAGAGTGTGCGACGAAAACGGTCCGAAATGTGGAGAAATGGGAACTGGTTGCTTCACCACGACAATGCTCCAGCCCACACAGCTTTGACGGTCCGACAGTTTTTGACAAGCAACAACATGGTGATTGTGCCTCATCCACCTTACTCACCCGACCTGGCTCCGTCGGACTTTTTTTTGTTTCCACGGATGAAGAGAAGTCTGAAAGGAAAGTGATTCCGCGATGTGCATGAAGTCAAAGAAAACACGCTAAAGGCTTTGAACAGTATCCAGCCTCAAGAACTCCAGCACTGTTTTGAGCAGTGGCAAAAGCGTTGGGACAAGTGCATTAATGCACATGGACAATACTTTGAAGGGGACTAATATACAGTTCAATAAAAATGCAAAAATAAAAAACAACAAAAATAAATTCCGGTTATTTTTGGGTCCCCCCTCGTACATCCTATCTTCATTTCTCTCCCCATACCTTAGCAGTGGCCCAGGATAGTTTTCCATCCTAGGGACAGCTTAAGACAGTGCATATTTTCCTTGTAACCTAATAACAATGCAATGGGTTTTCCCTAAACATGACAGAAGTGGCTATTTACATATATGTAGACATTTAAATTGTTCCTTTGTTAAAATCGAGCAAATTTTTCACCTGAGATATTTTACTTTTGAAGATGGCTCCTAAATCTAATACTGCATGTGTACAGGCCTGGTATAATGCACTTCACAAGAATCTTACCATTGATGTCTGAAGGCGTACACTTTGGATCATTCCTGTCAGTATCCAAACAATTTCCAGGAACTCGATTCATGTATTCATGTTTCTGTTGATCAGTTTCTTCCACGTGAAGTATATCCTTTCCTACTGTATTTAGTGTTTCTCCATCAAACACACAATCTGTTTCCATAATTGCTTTAATAGCTCTACCATTAGCTGCAACATTCCTTTGTTCATATGAACTGAAACAGCATGGTTCATTAAGAAAACTAGCAAGTGCATCCTTTTCCTTTACTTCTAATTGGTCATTAGCACATTTTAGAGCAGAAAATTTCTCTACAGAACCAGAAACAGAAGGAAACTGAACAGCTCCATCATCACTAATTCCTCTAACATCTGAGAATGATCTATCACATAAGAGATCAGGAGAGGTGTTTAATGAAGCAACTGTGCAGAATGCTTTATTGAGTTCCCCATATGAACCAACACTAACAGTACTGCTACTGCTCCTCTTAGGCGTTGGTATTTTCATTCTATTCAGAGGTGTCTTCAGACCAGATGCCATACCAATGTTCACTGATTTTGCATTTCCCTGTTGACATAACATTTGCAATGTTTCAAGAGATGCACCTTCATCACTATTTATAGATGCAGGTAAACCAGTTTTCTCTATTGCAAGAGTGGTAAATGAAAGTGAATATGTGTGTGGCACAACTATATTCTTATCTGGAGTAGCAGCAGTGACATGAGAGCCTGAATTGTGATCAGAAATGTAATTTTCTTTTGTAAACATCTTTGATTGCCCCAGAGCATTTTGAATGCAAGCATTTATTCTAGTGGCAACAATAGCTTTTAATTCTTCATCAGTGTGAGAATCAGATTTTATTATAACTTCTTGGGATGTTAACATTATACCCGTTTCAGCTTTGATACCTGAATGGCCTACATTGGAGAAAATTTGTTCCCCATTATATTCTTTACAGAGGGAACTTTGTACATTTGGAAACAAATTATTTGCATCAGTACTTTGTCCATCTTCCATCCATTTTGTGTGAGAAGTTCCATTGTTATCCTTTACCAGCTGACGTACATCAGTTCCTTTGGCGATATTTAAATTATTCGATTCATTTCTTCTTTCTGTTGTGAATGACTGTTTTGAAGCATCAGAAGTATCTGACAGACTTAGAAACTTACATCCAGTTGGATCTGTGATATCTTCGATACAAATTAATGAATCATCTGTACCAAAGTCATCAATATCTCCATTCAAATGCTCCAGTAACTGAATCACGTCATTAGAATTAATAGAGTTTCCTTTAGAATTATCAGATGTAGTTCTACAAATATCTTGTAAGGCTGTACCTGTCTTAACTGGCACAGAAACTGTATAAACATCTTTAACACTTGTGTTTGCCACATATGGATCTGCACATTTACCATTTACTTCACAAGAAATATTAGCTGGTATATGATATGCTTTCTGATATACTAGTTCAAAGGGATCATTTAGCATCCTAATATTCAAGTTTGTTTGATGAACAACTAGGTCAAAGGGATTATTGTCCACATCAGAATCATTATCATCAACTAAAACAGTCTGACTGAAAGCTGGTGCATCACTTGGAGAATCTGTTGGGCCAAGTAAAGGTGGAATTAATGGTATTAAATGACCAGATTTTACATCTTCCAATTGTGTTTGTAAAGGACTGTGAAAGTCTATGAGCAATTTATTAGTATCCTTGTTATGTCTATTATCTGAAACAAGAAATTTTAAAATTAGAATATTCATTTTAAAATTGAAATATCTCTTCATAAAAACACAAACACTGCATGCATGAATATACACAAAATATGTTGCACTTCACCTACCATACATATTTCTTGTCAGACAGCAACTCCCACAAAAGCAGAGTACACAGATTAGGTTATGATATAAAGGTTCAGTCTGCAAAACAAACACAACAGAATAAATGGACATCCAAACAATAAATTTTAAACTTTTATTAAATAATTTGCAATACAAAAAAAATGAATAAGGTATAGGAGAAGTGAAGATCATAGTGCTGGTCCTCTCACATCTGCCTACTCAAAAGGAATGCCTTGACAACTTATGAAAACCAGATTTAAAGAAACCAAACCACATTAAAAGAACCTACTGTGACAACCAAACTTAACCTCTAACTCACCCAACACAACAGTATGTCTGTCCCAGTATGTGACTAGTCCAGTACTAGCAACATTTAAATAGGACCTCACTTTGTGCATCATGGTGTACAACATGTAGAGATAATTTTATGCTGTATGCCATAAACATAAAACCTGAAAGGCTTCTAAAATTAAATTAGTTTAGTGGATCTTTAGTCTTATGAGATTACTTAGAAAAGAAGCTTTGAATTCTGTAGTAAAAGACTCGACAAACTTAAGGAGTATTTCTGTAACATTTTATATAAAAAATCGAAGACATTTCATTCTGTATTAATGCAAAGGTGTTCTGATTCCATTCGACTCTTTACAAAATCCAGTTCTAGGTACCTGATACGTTACGTTCTGTTTCAAGATTAACAGCCATATGGCCTTAAAAGCCATGATTCTAACATGTTTTGTGCCTGGTGCTACCAATCAAATTATGGCATTAAAACGATTAGCTTATTCTTATATTATAGGGTAAACAAGTTTTGCAATATCCAACCTCTAGCTAAATTTCCAATGCTCTGGAATAATCTGTGCTCTTATGCTAAAAGTCATACCATACTTAAAATTCATCTTCCATACATATTTTATTTTTCTCTAAATATGCAAAGTGGGGTTCACTTGTCCACAGAATTTTCTGGTAGTCTACAAATCATTGACTGGCAGAACCCAGTAGTGCTCAAACAAGAGTCCAGAGCGAAAGTACTTAATTACTTTGCAGAGCAGAATACAACTGCTGACAGTATCCATTTTTATCTGTCATACGAAGTTCATGATTGTTGAAGAGTGGTGGAATATTTGTTTCAAAGTAGGCCTATTCAGGCATCCAGCATTCGGTAAAAATAAAGTGAATTGAGACTAAATATAAATGGCTGCCAGAAATATGAAGATTGTGGACATTATAAATTCAAAAACCTTCTGGCCTGGAGACATACTCATTAAGAAAGCTCCAAGTACAACATTCCTTGCAGGATCGCAACTTAATCAGATATCAGATGAAAGTAGGCTGGCATGTCATTATGTTATTTTACAAGAATTTTTCTTGTTGAAGCAGAAACTAAAACGGGATCTAACAACTCTCGTTTTTTAAGGTTCATTTCATTCATTCACCTTCCATAAATCCTGTCGAGAGTACATTCTCATGCGGATGTGGAGTATGAAATTTTGAGAATTTAAATGAGGAAACGAATAACATATTTTCAAAATTAAATACCTGCCAGATTCCCTTCACTATTACCTGAATTTTCCTCCTACGCCCTTCCACCACTAAAAGATCTCAATACACCCGTCACACATCTCTACTCCACACCACGCTTCTGACCGGTTTTTACTCCTTCAATTCAAAACTTCCTACGCTTCCTACCACTTTCTACGTAACAGAACAATACATCGTTGATAACTGAAAAAGTCAATTTTCCCTCTCCGTCCAAAACAATCCTAAGGGCGTATTTGAATGCGATTCTTTTTAAAATGATCTATTCATGAAGTTAGAAGAAAAGCAGACCATATTCACTTTATAAGAGAACGTTTCTATGCAATTTTATTTCTTCAAATAGACCGCAACATTTACGGAATGTAATAAGAGAATTTAATATAAGTTTGTATCATGTGAGACCAGTTGGCTATCCGTAATTGCAGACATGCCATTGGCTTAAGACGAATAAAATAATGACCTTGGATGGATTATATGTCGAAATGCTACATTATTAATTAAAATTATATACTTATATAAATAACAGGATATATAACAGTGATTATATAGTTGAAAATTTTATTTAGAAGTTATAAAATAATACAATCTGAAAATGTACAAGGCTACGTGGAAAGTTGATGAAAACGATGAAGGTAGTGTAAGGTTATGTTCACCATGTCATTTCTAGATTAGGTATTCTGTATTTACATATTGCAATTAAAAGTTGTATTACTCTGTCAGCTAGAAAATATCACGATAAACGATGAAGTTTTTGTAATAATAAGTCGTTTTTATTTCACAGTGTTCAGGTATGTTTATATTCTTTATGCATTGTTTAGTTTGGTTCAGTTAGTATAGCGGGTACCCATCAAATTTCAGTTGACATAGAAATCAACCAACAGATAATTTTTCATAGTTGAGTATGCTCCACGGTACTATATCAAGGTATTTACACTGCTTCATAGACAGATTGGATGATATTAAATTTAAACATGCAACTTGCTTACATAGTTCTCTCACATGTGCTCCATTAAGCGAGTGCTTTATTTGCAGCAGTCTGGATACAGAAGCTATACAGTATTATTCAAGTGGTGGAGCTATAAACCTTTTAAACCCTAATGTTATAAGAGGATAAATTCCAGATGTTTGGTATAAATCCCTGACCTTAACAGTAAAATTCCAAGAAACCTAATTCTCATGTATGCCTACAGAAATAATTTAGTTTGTGAGAGTAGTATATTAATAGAAATATTGTGTTTCTGAGCATTAGCTATTGCCCTGTTTTTATTTAAAGCACATTTTGGAGACTGGATTCTGTCTCTTGTCTTCAGGTGGAACCTACTCAGTTGGGCCCAATAGACAGAGCTAGTCCCTATCTCCAGACACCAGCACCAACACAAGATTAAGGTATATAAACCAAGCACAACACAAACCATACGTGAGAGTTAAGACAAATGTTAGAAATGTTAAAAACATTAAAAGAAACTCCACACATGCACACACATGTTCATGCACTATTTCATGGCTTTTGTTAAAATCAGAGTCCTGTCAGAAAAGAAGTGATCACTGAATTCCCTGCATAGTACCAACATAAAAACACAATTTCCACTGATAGTCTGCACTGGAAGGAGTTGTAGTTTTCTCACTTCTGCTGCAATAATGAGAATCCAGATGGAAGATGTCCAAGCTGGGTTGATTGATTGGATGATCTACCAGAGACGTGGATAGATTCCTTGTATTTCCTGTACCTGGTGTTTGGTTCAATCTGCAAGACCTTCACATCTTTCCAACAAAATTTACTTTCGTCTTCTTATACACATTGGGCTAATTTTTATTTTTGAAGCAGAACTTGGGTCAGATTATATTTGTGCTTCCCAATGCATATTTATAAAGATTTGTTTGTTTCATCAATGTAACACGTCACAATCACATGGGATATTGTACACACACTGCTTCGTCTGCTGGGCGTCTCTGACCGGTCCGCTTTTCATCACTGTCCCAAGCAGTGTATGTTTAGTTTTGAAAATGATCCTGACATTGAAATGATTTCCAATTGTCTGAATTTCTCGAGGATATCCTTAACATATGAGATAATGACCATGTCAGGACCATTTTCAGAACTAAACATACACCCTTGGAACACCGATGAAAACTGGACTGGTTAGAGATGTCCAGCAGACGTAGCAGTGCGTGTGCACTATCCCATGCAATTGTATCAGATGTTACATCAGTGAAACAAGCAGACCTTTAGAAGTATGCATTAAGGAGCATAAATATAACCTGACCAAAGTTCTGCTTGAAAATTAAAAGTAACTTAACGTGCATACAAAGAAGGCCATAAAATATGTTGGAAAGAAGCGAAGGTTTGCAGATTGAACCAAACATCATGTACAGGAAATAAAGGAATCCACCCACATGTCTCTGGCAGATCATTCGATCATTCAACCCAGTTTGGACATCTCTCCCATCTGGACTCCTATTATAGTAGCCAAAGTCAGAAAACTCCAACTCAATGCAGTGTAGATTAAGTGTGAAAACTGTGTTTATGTTGGTACCATACAGAAAATTTGTCTCTTTACTGATGGCTTCTATGCTGATAGTACTCTGAGTTTAACAATAGCCATGAAATCGTGCATGGGCATAGGTACACAGCCTTATGTATGTGTGTGTGTGTGTGTGTGTGTGTGGAGGGATTTTTTTAATGCTTTTAATGTTTTTCCTAACTGCCGCAGATGGTTTGTGCTGTGCTTCGTTTATATACCCTATCTTCTGCTGGTGCTGGTGTCCAGAGGTAGGCAGTAGCTCTATTGATTGGGCGCAACTGAGTAGGTTCCACCTGAAAACGGAGACAGACTGCAAAACGTTGTGTGTTTAAATAAAAACAGGACAATGGGTAATGTCCAGAAACATGATATTTGTAGAATAGTCAGTGACTGAAGAGGGATGAATAGTTAGGTTAGGATGACATTTCTTGGCCAATCAGAAAGTATACATATATTAATTACTAATTCCACATCCTGGTTTGTTCCCTGTATGGATGTTTATGGAAAGTGGAGGATGTGTATGTATGTATATGACGAGTCCTGTATCAATGTATTTTGATTTATGGGAAAATTATATTAATTTTAAGTTTTTATAGTAATGCACTTTTTAAATTATGTTTAGTTACAATTGTAATAAGCTCTTGTTTTGTTTTTTTATATTACCTATGTTAGTTAACTGGTGTGTGTTATTTTAGTTGTGTGACTTATGTAATCTATTACATGTATACATCTATAATCAAATGGACTATTTCCACATCCTAGGATTTTTGCCTGTATGGATATATGGAAAATAAAGGAAATGAATGAATGAATATAGATATAATTCACTCACTTGAATCATAATTTTTCTTTTTTTGTTCATCATCATTGATTGCCATTTCTCACTAAACATCAAAGAACCTCAAAAGTTGTGGTAGTCAGTTAAGTAAAGATGGAAGGCTTAAGCTTTAAAGAAAGTATCAGAACTCCTTAGAAAATATCTTTGATTTTTAACATGTCTCGCAGAAAATAAAGAGGCTCCTGTTACCTTTGGTTTCATGCCCCACTTTACTTTTTATGGATGGATAATAATAATTCTTATTAAAATATTGGCACAAAATTAATGTGATCATACTGGCCAGTTAAGGTTATGTCTTTAATTGAAAGTCTGCATAAAATTGTTTACTTTTTATTTGTGGTTTATTTAATGACATGGTCAGTAGTTCAGTCTATACAGCAGTGGATAGGATAATTAATGAATAAAGGTTGAGAGGATGTGTATGGAAGGAAGCAGTTGTGAGCTAATTTGAGGTGTTATCCCAGCATCTCCTTGGAAGGATGGAGGGAAACCTTTGCAAGGATAGATGGTCTTTGTGCCACCATTCGATCCCAGGAGCTACCTAATACAAAATAGAAAAGCTAACCATTCCACTGTGACATTCAGTTTAAAATTAAATTATGCCTCTTACTCTGTTTCATACAGAAAATCCTAATGCTTATTTAACAATATAACTTTTTCCTCCTACAAAAATAGGGGACAAATGGCAGTGTTAAATTATAAATGTCTCATTACAGCTGTGTTTATTGATGCTGAAGAAGAAACAATCGAAGACAGTGACAAGTGTACCTATAGTAGGTGGTCGTATCTGCCAGATCTAGTACTTGAAAAGGTGTTTTCATATTTGTCTATGAGGGAACGTTATTATGCATCAATGGTGTGCAGATCTTGGTACAGAGCATTTCATCTCCCATATGTTTGGTCAACTTTTGTTTTGGATGATTCCACTCTTACAAGGAGGAAATTCAATTATTATTATGGTTGGCAGGTAATTATTTACCTATTCTGCATTCCACTTTTTAAAATCTTGTTAGGTATGTAAACAGTTATTATGGTCAAAAATTAAAGATATACCTACTCGTATGTGCAGTGCTTTTATATAAAAGAAAGTGTTGGTACTCTGATATGACAAATGGAGAAGAATGCAGTACTCTTTAAGTTTATTCTTATTTTTACTTCCATGATACCTGGATTTTCTTAACATTTCTGCTGTTATGTTTATAGCATATGAAAAAAGGTGCTAATAGAACATAATATAGTGTGTCACAGGAAACCCCTGGAATGTGCTGAAAGAATATTTTACATCAAAATAAGTTGGAATCACATTAAATATTGATCATGTTCCAGTATGTATTGGACCACATGCGAACACAAATGTGTATTACAAATGTTGGACGTAACTTCCGGCAACTTGTGTTCGGGCCCATGATGAATTTTTTCAACCTCTATGAGTTTATGAATATGTTATCATACTTTGTTGAACGGCCTCAGGAAGATCTAGGGATTGGTACCCACATCCGAACATTGAGGTTCATTTTTCCCTGTAATATGGCTGTACGAGATGAGTCAGAACGAGCAAGGATATTTGGAACAGGAGGTATGAAATTATTGATGATTGTTTTAGTGAGGAATTGTAGTTATCATTAATGTATGTTCCCCCATATTCATGAGTAAATTATGTGGATCTTTGATGTTTATAAAATATTTAAATAATTAACTTCATGTTGCAGGGTATTCCTTGAAAAGTTGATGGCTACTTGAGTGTCAACAAATTCCATATTTTTATGGGATCCTGAAGATTCATTCCCAAATTCAGAAAAGCCCACCACTGGATTCTGCCCTGAGCAAGCTGAATTCTGTCCAGTCCCTCATACAATTTAAATAATTACAGGACATTTATTTCATGTAATGCTCATCAGCTGTTGTGTCCTTTGCTCCCAAGAAACGGTTAACTAATCAGTCAACCAGGAATATATTGACACTGGGTAATATACTAAGTCCTTGGATTGCACATTGGAAATAAAATTTCACTGATTTCTCAGGAAGGTTTTTATCTGTTCTACTATGATAAACAGAACATGAACCTCCATCAACACCCAGAGCATTGTACTTTTCTTCCTGTTGCTGTAGATTTAACACTCCCCCATCCTGGTCAAACAACGTGGTTTATGGAATTGTTTTCCAAATGTGTGAAGTCTAAACATTCCATTATTGTTGATGTTTTTCAGTTTCAATATAGATTTTAAATGCTGTTTGATCCCAAGTTAAAATATAAATACACATTTTTAACCCTACTTACTATTAAGTGCAGAGCTACATAAAATTACTAGTTGATTATTGTATACAGGCCGATTGCTTGAAGCACTGAAGAGGCTAATGGGCAATTTGGCAACATTACGACATCTTGAATTGATAGATTTGATGCTGGAGCCTCATGAGGCTCAGCATCTCTTGGATGAAGTATGTTCTCTGTGTTGCCTCACACTTCACACGCTCATCATAATTAACACAACCAAGCTGCATTACCAGCTGCTGCATGCTGGAGTGTTTTTGAACTTGCAGGTAACTGAGAAAGAAAATTCATCAATTCAGTGGTGTTGTAACTTCCATAAACATCCAGTCTACAATGATACTTTCATGAACTTTTCTTGCACTTCTCAGGTATTAATGATCAGCCCTCAGAACCTAGGCGAAGATCTGGTGCAACTGCTGGGATACACAAATCTTCGTCATTTACACATAATCCAGAACCGATATACACCAGGAGAAATTAACATGAGACCAATACCTGGTCGAATTTGGAGGCAGTGTAGACGTTTAAATTCCCGTCTTGCAATTCATTTGGAAGTGGAGGGAGCCAGGGACAGGGATGTTCTGTGGCAGGATGGTGCCCCTGTGTACTCAATACTATATGATTCTCGTCATATCAAGGTACAGAAACTTACATACTAGGGCGTAATAATGTAACAGTCACAATATTTCCTGTGTTGATTGAACAGGTAAATTATTTTCAATTCATTTGTGCATTTAAGCATGCCTGTTTGCTGAAAAGTTAATGGAATATGCCAGACACTGATGTTGAATGTGTTTGACTGACAATTTCTGTGGTTTTTCCAGAAGTTGCTCCAGATGAACATTAGAGCAATACTTCATATGTTCCCTTTGCTTTCCTAACAAATATTGATGTCACCATTTTACTGAAAAGTACTGTAGTGGTGTAATAACTCTATGAGAAATACACAGGAAGAAACCTGGTTCTAATCACAGATGATTCACAATCATTTCAGACTAAGGTTTGTTGTGGTTTTTCTCAGTCTGTCTAGTTGAATGCTCAGATAGTACTTTGAAATATTTTGCAACTATCTCCTTCCAAATCCTTACCTAATCACCATGCCCAGTTAGGTGCTACATAATCTTTGCAGTTGAATCACTGCCACTAAATAGCCAGAGCATCAAGATGTCTCTTGTAAAGAAACCAAAGAATCTATTTATTATCACAGGAGAACTTCCTAATCTGCAGAAGTGAAACTGTTTAAAACATTTAATGTGAAAGACTGAAAGGTAATGATGTTCAAAATGTGATTCTATAGTTTACCTTAAAAGGGCTAGAGAAGAATGCTGTCTTCTATGATGTGGTGCTGTGGAGATCTTGTGTGAACCGACATTTCGCAGGAACATATTGCCTCCATCTTCAGGGTAGAAAAAATCCATGAGCAAAGAACCAACATGAGCAGGTGGCTGCAGACTGCACCTCACCAGCCATCCCAACTTTCGCAGGACAGTCCTAAAAATTAACTTCAGATCCTGGGTTGTAATGCCTCGCAATCAGCCAGACAAACTCTCCATAAAATGTAAATGACACGATTGTCCTCACCAGATTTGGAAGTATTTGGAAGTGTGCAAGTGTGATGAGGCAGCTGGTAATATATGTAATACCAGCATTCCATGCCTTCCTCAAAAATGCATATTTACCTTTCCAATGCAACACAAAGTAACATAGATGGAATAGTATTACAGCATCAGAACTGTATCCCCCGATGGAAAAATTGAGTAACAAGATGAACCAAAGAAAAGAATGGGAAGAAATGGAGATGTTGTTAAAACTTGATTGATAAAGATTCTGTTCTATTAAGAAAGACTTTCTGGCCTTTTATGACCCATATCTCAAATATTTAGAAAAGTGGTTTGATTTCTTTGACAACTACTATCTGTATGAAATAAAGTATTTATTGCTGAAATATTCTGATTGCAAAGCTATTGTAGTCTTGAAGATGTCTTATCAGCTTGGATGAATCATATGAAGAATTTTATATAGGATCTACACTTGCATTCCTTCTGAACAACAAATCTAAGGGAACTCTTTCTGTTAGCGATAAATGGTGTCAAATAATTTTGCCAGTAGACAGTTGACTTCCAAATGTTGCATGATTAGTCTTATTTGTACTATCTATTCCTGTGTGCAACGTTTATGTGGCGCAAGTTTTCTCAGTTACATATTGCTGCTGGAGAAATGAATGCAATAAGAGCAGTGTAAACTTAATAAAAAAGTGAAATTGCAGTAAAGATGGATTATAAATATACTTGCAAGGACTTTTACACATTTTTTCTCAAGGAAAAAGATATCTTCAAAGCAGCAAAGTCAAACAAAAAGTACGCTTTTAAATTCAAATAATGAACCAAAATTGATAAATTGAATATTTTTTATTTGTTTCATTTTGGTCACTCACACTAACAGTTACAATTACAAAAGACAAGTCCATCCAATGTGACTATTTCAGTTTTCTCACTTGATGATTCACTAGCCTTACATGTTTTGATCCATTTGGATCATCTTCAGAGGCACCAAACACTTTTTAGAAACCACTATCACAACAGTTGTCATATCAAATACACATGTAATGTCCTAGTACATAAAGTTCCATCTATCACTCACAGCAGCCTTTCTGGTTATAGAAATATTTAAAGTTGTTTTAAAGTTTTAAAAACTTTGTTAAAAATTAAAATACATAAACCATACGGTTCGTGTCAATAACCCCTGTCGTCTCTCTTCAAGGAGGCCGATGTTGTGCCTCCTATGTAACTTGATTAGGGAGATTCTGTAAATATATTATGGGTACTGTATTAATATCAGCGATCCTACTATATATATATATATACGAGGGCGGACCCAAAAATAACCGGAATTTATTTTTGTTATTTTTTATTTTTGCATTTTTATTGAACTGTATATTAGTTTCC